TTGTATTTAACGGAAAGAAACCTTTAACAAATGCTTCCGATGTACAGAGATTTGCAAAAAAATACATATATATTCTTAATTACCATGAATAGCGGAATCGATTTAGCAATGCCTGACCGTCTGTTTTGTGACGCCATTATTACAATTTTAAAATTTTGATTACGCAGCAATGAATAATTTGAAGAAAGTTGATTTCACATTTCCTTCGTAGAAATATGAATAAAATTGAACCTGCTAGAAGAAAATAAATACAACTTTTTCCATTTAAGCCGGGTCAGTTAGTAGTGTTCTCTCAAATATTGACGTCTGTGTCAAATTTCATACAGCAATCGACCCTGAGTCGAAACGATAATGAGAGCTACCAAAAATCAGACGTAGCTAGATCCACGATACGACTTATAGTTCGAGTGAAGAAATTATTTTATCTAAGTTATTTTATCTAAGAGAACTTAATCGTATTTGCTATACCCTTTGTCATGAATGGTACTAAATTTGTGCGGATGTATGCAACACCCAGAAAGATTTGAGATATCCCCTGCTTCAGATTCACTTCCGGAATCGACTTAATCTTGCCTGTCCATTTTTCCGTTTTGTTTTCTTGCATTCCTCCTACAGGGCACGGCTTAATGTAGCTTCTGATCTCTTCATAAATTAATTATTAAATTTTTTTCTTTTTTTAACATTGTGTTACGCAAGTACTCGCACGCAACGGAAGCTCTAGAGCTTACCATAACACTTGATCATAACTTACGCACAATACTTGTGAAGATGATGCATTTCTTCATTTGTTACCGATTCAAGGCAATCTACCGTTAAGCAAGTGAACTTAAAGATTTCACAACTTTACGCATAATTAAATGTGTTTTTCCTGTGTATCACACAAAAAAAAGTAAAAAATTTTTTTTTTTTTAATTTATTGCCAACGATTTACTAAATAATAAACATTTTCTGATACGCAAAACGAGTCGATTATAAAGAAAACAAAAAAATTAAATGAAATGACATATAGACAACATGTGCAACGTTGCAAAAGAAGAAAGCTTCGGGTCCTGAGGAAATGCCTACCCAAACAGTACGGCTGATGGGTAACATATGGTCATCGCTGTGGAAAAAATAGCTTCCGGCCTTGCTACGAAAGCGGGGTAAGCCGCGGTCTCGCGGACAACGTGCACAAACGTTTAGAGAAAGAGCTACAGAGCCGAGATGGGTTTTCTAGGCGCCAGTTTGACTTTGTCAAACGACCATCGAATGCTGATGGCAGCATAAAAAATCAAGAACGCAAATGGGTTCTGCGCTTCCATCACGTTGGATATTAGAAACGTTTTTAACACGACTGATTATGAAGGGTCCATAAAAAGGCTTAAAACAGTCAAGGCTTTCTCCGTACTTGATAACGAAAGTGTACTGCGTAATACAAACGACGGCATAAGAGAACATAGCTTTACTGCAAGAGCACCACAGAGCTCCGTCCTGAATGCCTTCCCGTTGTATCTTGCTATGCGGATTATGCAGCAAGCGTCCGTCGCTCTAATAGAACGCCTTAAAGCTTATAAGTAGGTGGCTGCACAAGCTCAAATTAAAACTTGGCGTGGGGAGGAGTTAAGCCTGTGATTGATAGAAGGGTTTTCGAAACGCCGAAAACCGAGTTAGCGAAGGAAATTGCAGCAAAGTCTGCAGAGTTGAGACCGCTGTTGATTGATTGCGATAAACCGCGCCGTTCTTAAGTCTTACCCACAGTTAGAAGACAAATCCAAACCCCCAATAAATTATCCCGTTCAACGACAAATCTATTAAGCATCATCAACTATTTTCTTCTTTTACTGGTCGAATAGCATCTTGGGCAATCATTTCCGCAACGCTTTCCTTTCCTTTTGCAAGTCGCGTTTACCTGCAAACATGATTCAGGTAAATCGATTAGTTCGAGAAGTTTTTTCTTTTCACCATGGGAACGTACCACCAGCAATTCTTGCTCAATCTACATGGAAATAAAAAAAAAAAACCAAGTGAAAGCACCTTCTATTTTCTATCATTCCTAGGAGCGATTGCCCATTTTTTGCAAGGTGCAGACTTACTGAAAAATGCATTACGTGACAGTAGAGCAATGAGGAAATTAAAGGGAATAATTTTATGGTTCCATTGCTTATGATTAACTGCAACTAATTTATTTGCTATAAACAAGATTTGGTCTGCGACCTAGAATATACTACGATATTTTGAAGCCGCATGATGTAGCCAAAAAAAAAAAGAAACAAAACCAAAGCTTGCAAAAAAAAAATGTTTAACATTTGCTTAAATGGAATATATTCTTAAACGGAAGTTTAGTAGAGCGTATCCGGCGTTAATATATATAAAAGTAGACATGAAAAGTAAGCAGATGCATATAGTGTTAGTAGCAAAGCATTGGTAAATGCATTAAATAAGACCATAAAATAAAAATTATTCAGCCAAAGTCGAATTTTAGTGATATGCACCATCATTTATATATTAATATATATATATATATATATGTATATGTGTGTATATGTATGTATATATATATAGATGTAGCGTATACATTGGAAATCAAATTTGGTAACACTTTGCAGACATTTTTCTAAATTAAAAATTGTACACCGGCTGCGAAAATTTGAAACCGGAATCCGGAAAATGATGTTTTAGGCGCCATTTTCTCTTGTTGACATCTAACAAAGATCTTCATCTTGTAGCAGCATACGTTTCATAAAACAGTATAGTGTTTGAAATAGCGCTCAACATGTCGAGTTTTGTACGGAGAGAAGAGCGTTGGTTGAACGGTACAAACGGCATCGTACGCCATTACTCATGATGAAAAGTGGATTTAGTTTGAGAGCGTCAGGCGCAACAATATGCAGACTTATTGAGTGATTTTGTACTATTATTATTATTATTATTATTATCTATTGTACTCGATGTTATATACACTCAAACCTGTTTTTGCGTAGTCTTTGTTTGTGCGATATGCGACGATTAGTATTGAATTCTATAATCGCATAATTTAATCGTTGAACGTACAAGAATTTCCAGCTCGGGTTTTCTCGAAACGGATTGCATCTCTGGTTAAGTTGCTGAGTTGATTTTTTCCCATTCAGATAGTTAGCGATTAGTCTCACGCTTTGTTTTGCTTGTTTTAATGAATCCGTAGAAGAAGCTCACTCGAACAGAGCAAAGAGTTGCCTTTTGTGCCTAGTCCGCTAAATAAAGCGATTTAACGTAAACTCTGCACATGAGTGAGGGCAAATGCAAAGCGAACAGAAAGTTAATCTCCTTAGAAAGTAAGACCACAATTTCAAAACGAACAGCAGAAGGTGAAGGATGTATAGCTTATGGCATAGTATTTGGATTAGGTGAATCCACTATAAGGGGCATACCAACAACGTGCAGGCCAAAGAAAAAGAAATCTTGTAGTTGTGCCGCAAACGAAGACGCTAAACGGGCAGCGTATACCAAAATTGAAAAGGCGCTTGTATTGCGGATTGAAGAATTAACTCAAAAACGAATCGCCTTTAACGGTGAATCTTATGATCATTTAAAGGATTTAGAAACGTCTTGTTCATCGTCTCACATTGCAAGCTCGAAGTTTTCTGCAAGTATTGGCTGGTTACTCAAGCTCTTACAACGACACGTACATACAATTTGAAGATAAAGGGCGAAACTGCATCCGCTGATGAGACATCCGCTAAAAATTATTCTAAGCTCTTAGCAAAAATCGTTGAAGATTAGGTGGATTAGAAGCGTTTCACAATACTGCAAGTAGCTGCCAAACCTCGTCTCTTGATTTCTTTAAAAAAAAAAACAATTCCTGGTTATTTCGTAAGGTTTTGATCTACTTTCTTCGTGAGACTTTTTTATGCGGTCCCTATTCACCGCATAAAAAAAAAAACTTTTTAATTTTGTTGCGAACAATAGTTTTTATAACTGCTCCTGATTTTTTTATGCGGTCCTTAATCACCGCACAATAACAGGTTTAAGTGTATAGCACGCAAAAACCACTATTCTATTAGATTTCCGAGCCGTCTGAGCGAAGAACTGGATACGCAAGTAATTTTCATAAAAATTTTTTTCGAAATCAACTTTCCACCGCTCGAGGAAAGCAAGATTTGGGTCATGCTTTGGATGCATTGGCACCTCTCAGTTAAGTTCTTTTTAATTTTTCTGGATTATTAAAGATGCATGTAGCTGTGTTGGTATTGCCATAGTTGAAAACGATCGATTCTATTGATTAATTCTAGCTAGGGTGCCTCAATTACACACTTTAATCCTCCTAGTAGTTGAGAGTAGAAAATGAAATCAATTATTTTGTCAGATTGGATGAGCTTATGATGCAAGGTGTCCCTTCAATCCCACCGAACGGTATACCTCGCCTTATATATAGGTGGCGTCAATTCGCGCCCTGCTACCGTCTTGAATAACGGTTCAACGATGCGGTGCGATTGTATTATTGAAACTAAATCGGACGATTTCATTTGGTTTCGACAGCGGTCCGCAAATGAAAGTTCGGTTCGGTTCAATTTTTCTCTATTAATTCATAGCATACTCTACTGCCGAATTTCTTCTCGTATCTAGTGTGAGAGATAAATGTTTCGAAATTTTTTATTTGATCAATTTTTATAAACGTGCGGCTACAATATATTTCAAAAGTTATAGGCCTTTCTTTTAATTTTCTTGACTTGTGGGTATTCTACCGCCAGAGTGGCCGAAGGCGAGGAATCTCGACTAGCAACTCAATGGTCGCGGGTTCGAATCTCAAGTGCGGTAGCCTTAGATGCCAGTGCTTTAGATTTTAGTTGTCTGGCGAAATTAATAATAATAATAGATGAACGGACTGAAAATGGAAACGTATATTATCGACATTTCTATATGGCTTGTTAAATCATTATTCTCTTGTTACAAATAAATAAAATCATTAATCTGTTTAAATAAATATTTTTAAAATAAAATAAATAAATTTGAAAAATATATTACGATTTAAAATTTTATTAAAGCTGTTGAAAGGGCTATACTGGATTCACGGTGCTATCTGGAGGGCGGTGGTTCAGCCGAAAGTTTTTTAGCTAGCGAAGATCTAGAGATCGGCGCAATTATTGGTAAGCTGCGCATAAACGGCGATCCAGATATCGATAATGGTGATATTAATCTAACGTTAAGAGAAAAAGACGCATCTTTAGAGATAGTCGCAGGAACCAAAGAATTAGCTTTAACCGTTGAATTGGATAAGGAAGGCGTAAAAGGGCCTTCATCAATATATGTTAACGTTATATGCCTACGAAGACATTCAACAGATCCGGTAAGTTCAATGATCTTTAAATAGTGCTTTTGATTTAAAAAAAACCTTTTTCATTGACTATGTTCATTTCAATTATCAAAGTATTAACAAAAGGCGTTGACGTTGCTAGAAAAACATTCCAATGCCGCAGCGCAATAGTGATGAAGTTTTATCACCCGAACACTTTACCGCCATCACCTAACAGCCTTGCCTATGCTATACACGGCATACTTGGCTTTTTACCACAATGATTGTAAACAGAAGCCATAAATTAGGTTTTTTTTTACTTCCGCTTAAGAACACACTCATAAAGCATGCCTATGCCCGTTTAGCCTATAAACTTTTACTATGCGTGGTTTAGTTTTATTTAGTTAAACAAAAAAAGAAAAAAAAGAAGAAAAAATAAATAAATCCCTACACTTTCATTATTGCCTTCTTTCTTTCTTCTTTACTCGTCTCGTAAGTCTTTCTCTATTTCTCTACTCTCTTTCTCCTTACACTTTTCTCAAATATCCTAGAAATTAACTGAAGGTCTCTTAGCCATTACATTCACATTACAGTTAAGTTAGTTGGCATAGTTCTAAATAATTTAATACTGCCTTCTCTTAGTAGATTTCTTAATATTTGCCTCGTATAGATGGCTTCAAGCACTTTGAACTTTGCGGTAAGTTCATTGACCACTTTTAAAACTTTACTAGTTTTAGTTTAGCAAGAGATTTCCCACCTAAACTGCACTACACTTGTATGAACGATTATATAAAGTTACACAAAACATGAACAAGAGTTGACATAAGTAAATGTTGAAAAAGTTAATATTTGATTATAAGGAATTATGTTTTTGATATGTTTTTATGTTTTAACTCTCCTATACACACACTTGTGTACAGGTAACCCATCGTGCAACGCTAGTTACTTTCCAAAATATTGCCGTGTTACGCAAGCTCGCTCGTTATACAGAAGAAGGAGAGGTTAGGTTGCAAAATAAAAAAAAAAATTTCTATTTTCATAAATATCTTCATTAAAATTTCGGTAAGAATAAATACTTCACTGAGCACTCTTAGCCGCAGCGCTTTTCCTTTCTTGGCACGATATTCTCATTCTATGTAGACTTTTCTACATTATCTTCAGATGTAAGCTCTACAAAAAAAACATGTAAGAAAAATATATTCGGCAGGGGCCGAATCTCGCATACCCACCACTACGTCTTTCGCATTCCACTCTTCAAATTCTTTTATTTGGCAGTATAAAGAAAAAATTAATCGCGATGTCTACTATAATCATTTTAAAATTAACCCATTTTTAGGCAGATAATATATCTTCATTTGAGGAGTATACGATATAGTTTTAAACATTCTCTCTTGTTTAACTTATGATAAATAAGCATAACATCTTCAAAAATTGAAAAAAATAAAATCTAATTACCCATAACTTCGTGTGGACATGGCTGATTGGTTCCATGTTTAGACCTAAAGAGTAGAGTGTTTTGTAAAGTAAATGTGAAAATTTTAACCATCTCCGAGTAACAAACAAAAATTTTTGTTAAGAAGAGCGGAGTTGCGTCCAGTTTACACTGCACTGTCGGCTTCTACTCTAACCAATTTGGCCCATTTTCAATACCAACCTACGTGCAGAAGTTTGCAATATTTCTAGTAATGTACAAAGCAGAGGTACAGACATGGCTTAATCAACTCAGACCATGACACTGATCACGAATATATACACCTTATAGACTCTCTGAAGCTTCTTTTTGGGTGTTACATACATTATGTGGCGGGTGTAAAGGAAAAGACGTCATGAATGTGCATTCGGCACTCCCTTTTTTTTGGAATTCGATTTCTTAAGAAATCGACTAGTTTTCATGCAAACCCACTGCATTTTCGTAAAAGTATTAATAGTTTACGAAAATTTTACAGGAAAACCTGTTGATACGTAGGTCCTCGGATGAGAAATGTAATTTTCGAACAATGCTAAAGTGAGTCCGTACTGCAGAAGTGCCATTCTATAAGGCAAAGTTGCCGATTCTCGAACCATATGAGCCCATGCTATAGAAGTCCCGGTTTACACGGGTATGTTCCCAATTCTCGAACCAAATTAGAGTGAGTCTGTGTTATAGAAACGCCATATTATAGGGCCATGTTTCCAATTTTTGAACCGTGCTAGAGTGAGTCTGCACTAGAGAAGTAGCTTGCTATAAGGCAATGCTTCGTGCTAGAGTGAGCCGATACAATAGAAGTGCGCGTTATGCGACGGTTTGCCGTTACGACAATGAACGTTATAAAGTACACAAAAGAATAACTCGCAGTTATACCAACCTTTGAGCGAGCACACACACACTATTATAAACTTTTGTTTTAATTGTAGATGCATCAGTTGATCATTTAAGATCAACAAACGCATTATTTTCTATTCATAATCAGGACTATTGTTTCCAGAACGCCACCTGTAGGCATATTATTGGGATTTCTTTAATCCCCTAGGAGTCAAGTACACTGATTAAAGACTCTTCTTGCGAATTTAGTCAACTATGCTTCCACCAAATTTCGATATCCACAGCCAATCTTTAATAATTCAGTTTAAGGCATCTACGACTCCTAGCGGCAGACAGTCTTACACTCGGTCGTAAAAGTGTAGTAGCAAGCATATAGAGAAAACTACGCTTTCTATATAAGGCTAATGTTACGTACTAGATGATACAGCCGATTTATAAATCTTTGTAAAGAGTTTCAATAATCACCAAGGCCCCTCTAAGCATAAGTACGTACCTATTTTTGTCCAAGTGTTCACCTATCTCTTGGGATCAATACCTCAAAGTTTTGATTTCAAATTTTTTCTTATCGCTTCTCTTAGGTTAAGTTCAATGCCTAACAAAATCGATTAAAAGGTTCACTTACAATTAACGTGAAACCAATAAGTTTTCCTACTTCTTCACATGAAGGGGTCAATAATTTTTTCGAAATGTTTCTTCAAGTTTCATCAGATTCGAATATCGCCACAAGGAAGCATTAATAAATTAAACGGAATAGATAAATGTTTACGATATCATATGTGACGCTATATATTATATAATACAAATATATAATCAGCAAATTCATTTTGGCCCTATTTCTTAGTTCAATACAACTTCTTTGTAGTTATCAATTATGAACGTACTCGTCTATCAGTAGGAACTAGCTGTAATGAAAAATGTTAGTCTAAAGGAAACTGCCTTTCTCGAAGAGGAAGAGCTATTTTGAAATCAAGATCATCAGAAAAGAAACTTTTCACTTTTTTATGATTATATAACATATATATACATATTTTTATTACTTTTTTTTAGAGTTTTGTTATACCTGTCAATGTGCGTGTAATCGATGTCAATGATAATGCCCCCGAATGGATAGCTGCACCGTATACATTAACTCTATCCGAAGTAACTGTACCTGGTACGCGTATATTGCAAGGAGCAAAGGCCGAAGATGCTGATCAACCCGGATCATTCTCAACTGTTGAATATCAAATTTTGCCGGGGCATTATTCAGAATATGTGCAATTTCTAAATCCCCTAGAAGGGACTTTAGTATTAAAGAAATCCTTAGATTACGAAGTAATGCAAAATTTTACTGTAAAACTACGGGCTCAAGATCAAGGAATACCTCCAAAATACTCAGATACTACGCTCCGAGTTGTAATTACAGACGCCGATGATCAAAATCCTAAATTTTTAAGAGAATCGTACAGTGCTGAACTGCCAGGCGATGGCAGACCCGGTGAGCTACGGACGCGTCCAGAGCCAATTAGGGCCATCGATCAAGATGAGGGCATTTGTGCACCTCTACAATATTCTATTGTACAATCACAAGATACCAAATACTTTCGTATACATCCGCACAGTGGAGTGATAACACTGCTTACACCTATCGGTTATTCGGATTTAACAAACGGGGCGACATTGGTAGTTAAAGCTACGCAAGTCGATAATCCCGATCGTTACGCCTTGACAACGGTAACATTAACTCGTCTCGGTGGAATACACAACGACATTAGTGCCTTGGCTTTTGTGCAAAAAAAGTTTTATATGCGTATACGTGAGGACACAGCGGTGGGCAATCGAATCTTAGCCTTGCCAACTAATAAGCCAGGAAAGCATTTAAAATATAGCATACCGGACCCAGTGAATTCTCAATTTTTTAATGTGGGCATGTTGGGCGAAGTCATTCTTACGAAGCCTTTGGATTATGAAAAAATGACCCGTCACGATTTTCAAATATTAGCCACAGACGATATAACGAATGCAACGGCCGATGTAACATTGGAAATAACCGATGTCAACGATTGGGAGCCAAGATTTCGAGAGACTCACTATGAATTTGCTATACCGAAAAGTGTAAGTTCGAAAATTTTGAAAAACTGGCAAGCCTAGAGGATATAGTTTTCCGAAATTTTTATTATAGCAAACTTTACAATCGCGCTCGGTACCTTTGGAAGGATTAATGATTGGAAAGGTAGAGGCAGCCGATGGTGATCGTAATGACAAATTGGAATTGTCCTTGCGGGGCCAACATGCTGGTCTTTTTGAGATTGATAATATCGGCAATATATATATGCGTCCAGAACAATTGCATCAGTTGAATGAATCGGTTATTCACCTTATAGCTATCGCCAGAGATAGTGGAGTACCGCCACGTAGCACTTCTGTGCCCGTGACCGTTACAATGGAAGGTGTAACTTTGGCCCAATCATCGTGGAGTAACAGTCTCTTAGCTATGTTCGTTGCCTTGGTGGCTATCTTCATAATCATCATACTGGCTTTAATTTGTTGCATAGTTCACTATAAAAGCAAGACACGTAAAACAACACCCGCTTTGGCTCGTAGCAATCGCGGTCATAGCGGTGTTTCATCAGCTAATTTAATGACACATGAGAAAATGACAAGCGGCAATGGTAATGGTGCTACGACTTCCAGCGGCAACGTTTCGGTTTTACATATGAAACGTAATGGCGGCAACGTGACTATGGCAAATGGTAGCTATCAAAGTAACGCGATGGGTGCTGGAATATCAGGTATGGGTGCTTCGGCAATATTGGCAGCCAGCTTAGAGAGAGAACGTGAAAGGGAAAGACAAAGGGAAAATTACGCAGCCACTGTAAGAAGTAAGTATTTAGTAAGTAGTTAGTGTTTTGTATTGAACCTTGAGAATTCATCAAATCGTTTAATTACTGCAATTATCATTTCTAAAGATATTAAGCCAGCCAGAGCTTTCTCGCTCTATATACCTGCCCACCTATCGCCGCATACATAAACCAAAATTCAACCAAAATCGATCACTTAGACATTTTGCTTTATTTATGTGCGTTTTTTATATCCACCACTATAAGATGAGGGCATACTCATTTTATATTTTTCCCATAATGTATTCAACACCTAAAAGCAAACTTCAAAGATCCTGTTAAAGTGTAAATATTCTTGATCAGCGTGAAATCCTGAATTGATTTACCTATGTCTGTCCGTCTGTGAAACTGTGTGTCTGTGTTATGTGGGTTGTTGGCACTCTTCTTCAATGAAGATATCAGCTTCAGATTTGGTAGAAACTTTGGAAGTTTCTGGACGCAGGTTGATATTGAAAATGGGCCAAATTGGTCACAGCAGAAGCGCACCGTGGAGCGTCAACTGAACGAAAGTCTGTCTTTTTAACAAATATTTGCGGATTTTTTCTCATACTCGGAAATTATTAAAGTTAGAAGGCTAAAATTCTCCACATTTACTTTACGAAACATTCCACTCTTTAGGTCCAAAAATGGAACTAATCGGCCATGCCCACACACAGTTACGAGTAATTAAATATTATTTAATTAATTTCGCACTAGATTTTATTAAGGAAGTAGACTTGAATGTTAAGAATAGGTGGACTAAGACCACCATAAGTCTGTCCGGTACTGTGTCCAAAAAGTAATATCAATTTAATTTTTTCTTCTTTAAATCCATTTATTAATCTAAATCTACTTCGTCGCCTTCGAAGTAATTCGCAAACGTTGCCTTCGCAAAGTGTTGCCTGGCGAAAAGATTTCACAGCGCGCAAAACATCACGATAAGCGAACAAAACTGGTTTTGCGTTTGGCGCGGTTCTTTCGATTTTTGCTCATACTTTGCAAGATATTCGCTCGACTGATCGACTCATTCCGGGTCATAATCCAACTCTAGATCCAACTCTCATCTCCCGTGATAATGCATTTCTTGACCGATTGATCGCATCACTCCACTCATCACAGTGCTAGTGACTGTCCATCTGATATTTGTCCATTTAAATCTGTCTTACCGGTCGATTCAGAAGCATTTTCTAAATCTATCTAAGTCTGTGCGTTTAGTCAAGTCTTAGCGTGTCAAAAAACTCGCCGTTCAAATTGATGAAGATAATTATTTTTAGGATCTCCGAGTCATATTTTATTTGCCAAATAGAATTATATTATGATTATGTAATGAATACTAACCAAACTGAAAACTTATTCTTCTTTAGGTATAGTTTCTCGGGCCTCGGCTAACGGACAACTCTACGAGGAAGACGAAATCGAAGATGATTCGTTGACAACGCAACATCAACATCATCAAATTTCTAGCGCAAACGCGATACGAAGGAAGGCTGCCTGGGAAGCACCTCCAACCTCATCGACTCAAGCAAACAGTGTCGCGGCCATTACTTGCGCGGGTAATGGCAGTTTAACGAATATGGGTGTTAATGCAGATACTTCCAATTTGACTGACACAATGGGATCTTCCGAAAATAATTTAACCGTTTACTTTTAAATATTATTATTTGTGTTTTTTTTTTTGTTTTTGTACATAATTTTTTTTGTTAATATAATACTTTAGTTCTTTACTAATCGAAAAAATTTTATTTATTATTATGTTATACAGAATGTAGTCAATTTATATGACAAGTGCATTAGAAACTAAATACGAATGCGATAGTCGGATAAGATCGACCGTTCGGCACCCTATACCACTAAGACGTTAATTAGCAGCACACCAAAAATGATAAATTACTTTTCGCAAATACATAATTTTCACGGAAGCCACCATATCGGAAAATAATTAAACGTCATCCTCGTCTAACTTTAGCCAGAGTAAATCGCAAATTAGAGTATGTCACTTTGTTGCTTTCTTGAGAGTTTCGGTCGGCGAAATGTAGTCTAAAAAAAAGGTCTATGGGATCCAAATTCGCTTTGGTTGTTTTAAGATAACCATTTTTCATGAGTTGAGATCCAATATATAAATTTACCTGGTCCAAAATTGGTAAGATTAATTTTTATGTCAAGTTATTGTTATCAAAAAATTTTCATAAAGGAGTATTGAAAATTAGATCTTTATGCCATTTATCAAGATTCAGTTTTCGTAGGAAGGTAAAAAAAAATTTCCCATCCGATCTAAAGGTTTTAAATTAGGATGTGGAAACACTGTTACTAAGCGATTTATGTCTAGAAGATTTCAAAATTACAATATGTGGGGAATGGTCCGGTCCGAACTGCTTTCGGTGGCGTTCATTCTTAAACCAAAACACGTAGGCCCGCCAACCATCATCAAAACTGTGATATGTAGGTTGGACACAAGAATACACGGACAGATGTCAGACGAAGAGACGGACAGACAAACGTAGGGTGGGTCGATTTCACGCTCTCCTGGGCTCGCGAAAACTTAATATATCCTGTAACGCAAGTGGTGTAGAGTACAAAAATCGAAAGGCGCGGATCAGCACTAAAAATAATTGCCTATATCACTGAATATGTCATCAAGATGAAAGAAGCGTTGATTTATTTTGTAAATTTTTATCGAAAAGTGTATTTAGAGTGAATCTTGTAAATTTTTAGCTTCCATTACCAGTTTGTTAAACGCATACAACTTTCTACAATATTTTATAAATACTTTTAGGTTTAGTCTTTAAACACTAAAGTATGAGTGGGAAATAAAAAAACAATAAAAAACTAAATACTATTTTAACGCTCCATAATTTAATCTTCTTTAATTTTAAAAAATCATTACATTTTCTCCAATAATGAAACCGAGCGCGACACCCGTGGAAATCTATAATTAAAGGTGTTGCTGGCCTTATAAACTTTCCATAAGTTTATAAAGCCAGCTAAGAGAACGTCATCTCCTCGATCGAATAAATAAACTCAATAAGAATTCTTTATCTCCATCCATTGCACCCATGCTCTGCCATTTGCTTTAAGCGCACGTTATATCACCGGCGGGCTGGTCAATCGCTATATTAGATATGTGAAAAACAACTTCCTTGTTAGTCTATTATTGAATCTTACACAATCATGAAAACTGAGATAACATTTCGTAGCTTGGAAAATGTTCTTACTTGATATCTTGAAGTCAAATTTAAAAGTGAGAGAGAATCACTTATAAACATGTCTACAATTGGCAAAAAAATGCTAAATTTTCCTAAGGATGAGAACTTAAGAATGCGTGAGCAGATAAATTTCAAAATGTGGCAGAGATCAAGCTAAAACATGACATTGGTAGATATATTGGCGTTCAGATCAAAGGAACTGTTTACTCGAATTCTCGAATTCATAGAGTAAATCTTCTTTCCCAGATACTAATAATATGTATAAAGGCAACACAGTTATTTAGTTAGTTACAGAGGCCGTAGTAAATGACTTTTTCTTACTTTTCAAAATAAGCTCCATAAACTGTAACTTAATGCATGTATGCATTCTCAAAATGAACAAAACTTTTTTTATATACGATTTATAGTGAATTTAAAATGAACACAAATTAAAATGTTGTTGAACACACTCAAAAAAAGAGAATATGAAGAGAAAATGCAAGCCTGTATAAATGAAGCAACGGAAAAAAATCAGCTGTTTTATTAGCCTTCTCTTTCAAGATTTTACTTTTAGTGGCCAGGTTTATCGTAGTTAATGTGAATGTTTGTTTATTTTAATATACGTCCCTAACTGGAAGTTAAGAGATTCGTAAAACGGATCAGGATCACACCAGAACAATTTAACCAAAAAAGTTGAAAAATTTAGCAAACTCAAACCAAAAATGTCTAAAGACGAGAAAGAGAAAGTGCCCATAGTTGACAAGGAATTAGATCTTTCGAATGCAGGACGAGGCGTGTGGCTAGTTAAAGTGCCCAAGTACATAGCACAGAAATGGGAAAAAGCTCCAAGCAACATGGATGTAGGGAAATTGCGTATAAGTAAGACGCCAGGTCAAAAGGCACAAGTTTCATTGACACTGACACAAGCGGTCGTCAAATTGGATCCTGACGCAGAAATACCCACTGAACACATATTAGATGTATCGGTTGTAACTAAACAAACCCTTGGTGTTTTCTCACATATGGCGCCCATCGAGACAAATCATTTTAAAGATGCAAGTTGTAGTGACCCCGAAAAATTGTACATGGAAGGACGCATAGTACAAAAACTAGAATGCCGGCCTATAGCTGATAATTGTTATATGAAATTAAAATTGGAATCTATAAAAAAAGCATCAGTGCCGGTTCGGAAAGTCCAGCCTATTGATAAAATTGTACAAAACTTCAAACCAGTTAAAGATCATGCTCACAATGTAAGTTGAAATGTGAAATAGAGAGGAGAGAAAATTGACATAGTACTTGATTGTAATTGCATCTTCTTTCTTTACATTGCAGATAGAATATCGAGAACGTAAAAAGGCGGAAGGCAAAAAAGCCCGCGATGATAAAAATGCTGTTATGGATATGTTGTTTAATGCTTTCGAAAAGCATCAATATTACAATATTAAAGATTTGGTCAAAATTACCAAGCAACCTATTGGTTATTTGAAGGAAATATTAAAGGAAGTTTGTGATTACAATATGAAAAATCCTCACAAGAATATGTGGGAATTGAAGAAAGAATATCGTCATTACAAGACTGACGCAGAAAAAAAAGATGATGATAAAACTGGTACCGACAGTGATACGGATCACTAAATTTAATTTAATTTTAAAACAGAATTAAAATAAGAAACTGATTAATTTACAATGTTTTGGAACATTTTTATAACAAATCGAAAATCTAATTCATCCTTAACACTTATTTTACCGAAAAAAGCAATAGAAATCGTTTGGAATTCTTTCAGATATATAAACGACGTCGTACTCAAATCAAGGAAGCGCGTAACTGTAGGTATAATAATCTAATACACTGTAACAGGCGCTTAATCACAGCAAAGCATTTGCCAAGCATTTGGTGCTTAGTTCCCTTAATCCCTTTAAATACAGGAAACTGAAAATAATTCGCAAAACATGGCGGATATAATTAATAATGCTTAAGAATGTGTTAGGAATGTAACTTTATTCTTCGGTATATTCTCCATTAAGTTCAATACATTTTTCCCAACGATTTCCTAATTTATTAATTCCATCTTTAAAATGACTTTCTGGAAGTCCATCAAAATAATCGTTCACTGCTAATATAACTTCTTCATCAGAAGAAAATCTTTTGCCGTCAAGGAATTTTTTTAAGTTTACGAACAAATGAAAAACGGAAGGTGTCAAATCTGGTGAGTAAGGTGGATGCTGCAACAATTCGTAATGTAACACCTTCAATTTGTCCTTTACAAGGACACCTCTATCAGCCGGTACGTGAAAATAGATTTTTTTCTTTGCCAGAGCTGGTCTTTTCCTCAGAATTCTCTCATCCAAACGTTCCAAAAGATTTAAGTAATATTTTTCTGTTATCATTTCGCCAGTTTGCAGGTAATCAATTAATAAAATGCCCTTTCCATCCCAAAAGACTAACGCCATAATCTTTTTTGTTGATTTTGACCACTTTGGTTGCTTTGGAACTGAACAGCCAGCCTTAGTTTCTTTGCCTGGTTCAGGGCTGTAATGATAAACCCAAGTCTCGTCTGTGGTTACAAAACGGCGTTTAAAATCAATTTCATTTTTTCGAAATAAGTTCAAATTTTGCGTTGAAAATTCTATTCGCTGTTGTTTTTGATTAATGCTCAACACATTCGGTACCCATCTTGAGCACACCTTTCTCAAACTCAATTCTTTTTTTAAAATGTGCAGTACCCGTTCAGATGATACATCCATAGCTGTAGCAATTTCACTCAAAGTCAATTGACCATCAATCTTGATCATATTATGTACTGAATTAATCATTTCTTCCGTCGTTACACTCGTTGGACGTCCAGAGCGGGGATCGTCGTATAGGCTCTGACGCCCTCGCTGGAATTCGGCCGCCCATTTGCAAACCATTGCTCTTGATGGGGCAGAGGCCCCCAATACATTTACCATTTCACTATGAATTTTCATGGCTTTCAAACCTTTTTTTACAAAGAATTTAATCACTGCACGATTTTCAATTTTGTCCATTTTAAGATATAATCATAGCATAAAGAAACCTTAAAATGTAGTAAATTGCATAGTTCTTTCTTTCACTGCTAAGGAGGTGTCGACTTTTTGAAGTGATCGTCGCTTTTCTGGAGTGACCGTCGCTTTTATGAAATAAATCTCTGCGAACTTTCCAATTACCATCGTACTGTAAATAAAAATTATGAATAAATATAACGAGATTTTCCATCTGAGGGCTGAAAAACAGTTTATATATATGCACATATCAAGGGCTTATATTTATTTTTGCAATGTTTTACCTTTATATTTGTTAATTCTTATAATTCATTGCCGCTTTCCGTTTCAATTATCGATAATATTATCGCTTTTATAGAATAGTTGAGACTTCTTAAATTATGCGCACACCTGTTTCATTGCAGTACTTTTGTAAAGCTTGGCAACTGTTGACGCCAGCTGTGGCGCGAAGTTGTGATACTTCGACAGGCCGAGATTGTGATAATTTATTTAAAGAATCTGCTAAATATTTGCGACCGTCGCTGACGTTAACAAGAAGGTCTTCTAACTTTGCCTGAGCATAAGTTAATTGCGAGACGGCAGCCTGCTAACCGCCAGATTGTCAGGCTCAAAATTATCGCTATCCAAAATAGTTTTGTCTGGTGGCAATTCAAAGAGCTCTACCACAGATTGCAGTAATTTAGACCAATATTGTACATAGGGCTATGTGAGCATGGCTGGGCAGTCAGCAAGGATTTTTGAAATGCTCACTGCAACAATTTTGCGTTCTAATTCGGTGGTTACCTTAGACCTATCGGAAATAAACACTCGCTCAATTACCATTCCAAACATATTGGCCTATTCCACTAAAGCGGAAGCCCCCAGTTTCGAAGCGTAATAGCGAAAGAAAACTGTAACACTGCGTAACATTAATTTAGAAAGACCGTGCTTGTTGTCTGTATAATTTTAATCCGAAAATGTTCTTCAAATTACAGCTGATTACTATTATGAATTGTTTACATAAATAAATAGAAAATAATAGGGCTTGCGACAAAAATAATACGACATTTCGATTAACTAATTTTCCATTTATTAACTTAAGGTTGCATTTACACTCTCTTGTCATCGATTCCAAGTGAATTACAAATGTCATTTTAGTCACGCCTATGACAGCTGTTTTATATTTACGTTTTTACGTTTTATACCTCGTGCGACTTATTGTTATTGATAGCATAAATTAAGATGGTTGCAGACAACGTTGAGTTGGAAAAAGCTTTAGATATTAACAAATATATATTATCTAAGTATACAGTTTCCAAATTAGTGGATAGAACTCTGGAATTACGTTTTTTGGATAATTCTCCGGTAAGTTGAAATACAAATCAATGAGAATAAATCAAATATTTCTCTAACTGGTTTACGAAAAGAGGAATAACTGAAAAAGTGATTAACGCGAATCGGATGCTAATTTTATTAATTACCTTTATGATAAAGTCGCAACAACAGAAATTTGTTACATATGTAAACACTCGCTAGGAAGAAGAATAATATTAAAATCGTTTTAATTTATAGGATTTGGATTGGAATTTGGATTGCAGACATGGCCAAGAAAAATGTTTAGATCTGCAATATCCTTTTGCCCGTAGTCCTTCAACTTTGACTAGAGTAAATGTAAAAGATTTCAAGATTTTATTAGAAGCTGATGGTCAACTGCACACTAAAAGTATAACCGAAATAAAATTTGATGTAAAGGTAAGTAAACTTAACGGTCTTGATACAGCATGCATTACTTTATGTTTAATGTTTTCTTTCTTTTAGAAAATATGGGATTTTACATGGCAGCCTGGTAATACGATCGGTATATTACCTCACAATGATGAATCTGATGTTGAAGATATTTTAAAATATTTAAATTTGGAAAATAAGGCAGACAATTTATGCGTATTTCAACTAATGCAAGAATCTAAAAAAACTAAATACCCTTCACATATACCCAATCGAACAACACCACGAGAAGTGTTGAGAGATTGCCTTAATCTGAGAGGAGTTTTGAAAAAGCAATTTCTAAGAACTTTGGCTGAATATTGTTCTGACATCTCTGATGTCAGCTTTTTAAAATGTATATCTTCGAAAGAAGGGTCTGCATATTATAACGAAATTATTTTACAAAATGCTTTTACTCTGTTGGACATTTTGAAAACTTGCCCATCATGTCAACCGCCGCTTAGTTTATTAGTAGAACATTTGCCACGCCTTTTACCTAGGGAGTACTCTATAGCCAGCAGTCCTTTAATTAATTCGAATGAATTTCGTATAATTTTTTCGATTTTTTCTACTAATCCTGGTATTACAACAAAAATGTTGCAGAGTAAACCTGCACAAGTTTTAATGTACCTAAGACAGCCGAATAAATTTTGTTACACAGAAGACGATTTTCAAAATGATCAAATACTTATAGCAGTGGGAGGTGCAGCTTTAGCTCCATATTTAGGTTTTTTGCAGCACAAGCAATGTCTTATCGAAAAGGGAGCGTCAGGAGTTGCCGGCAAAACATGGCTTTTTGTAGGTGGTGTTAGCCCGCAAGCAATCGCTCATCGTTCTCAATTGATGCAATGGCTTTCTAAGAATGTTTTAAACAAATTTATAGAAAGTCATTCTCGTTCACCGTCCGCCACCAATTCATATCAATATATACATGAGGCCTTAAATGCGAATTCCAAAGTGTTCATTGACTTACTTTTGCAGCCGCAAACCTCGATATATGTATGTGCAGATGGTTCTCAAATATCCGCAGCCCTAGAGGCAACAATTTGCAAATGTTTAAGTAAAGAAATCAATATCGAACAATCTGAGGCTCAGAATATAATCAAAGATTATCGTAGGCAAAATAAATATCGAGAAGATTTCTGGTGCTAAAAAGTAAAAGCAGAAAAACAAAGGATTTTATTTTATAGAGGTCAACGAAAAGGTGAGGAAATGCTTGACTATTGGATTAAAAATAATCCGAGATGTCTACCGTTTATCTATGTTCGGTCGTCGATTTTCTTCTTTTTTTTTGTCCGCGTAAATGGCCATCCGCAAGAAGTGAAAAAATAAAATCATTTATGTAATTCACAGTAGCCGACAATTGTACTATATTTTCTTAGTCAGAAGATCCAAAGACTATCTTATACATTTTGTTTTTAATAAGTTGTGTCTTCTTCAGGCTATTCTAAAGGCTTTTAGCTCAACTGAAAATTGTCATCTTCCGTTAAAGGATTTTAGGGCCCATTTTACGCGCGAAATATATACCTTATGTAAAGGATAGTACGCGGTGCTTGTCAGGGGTTTCCAGTCCTGAGTTTGGATCTTCTGTATGCATTACAAAGTCTAATTGGTACGAGGGTGCCATGAAAAGGTCACAAAAAGGACAAAGAATAGCTGGGCTAAACAAATTAATATAACTCCGAAAATTCCAAAATGCAAAAAGAGAGTATCTATAGTATCTTTATGTAAAAATCACGGCAAAGTAATCTTAATTACCGAAAAAAAAAGCTCATTTTTTCATAGCCATCAGCGGAGGATGAGCATTCCGCTGCTTTTACAAATTTGGCAAAGAATAGGGTTTGGAAAATGAAACAAATTAGTCAAGCGTAAACTCGGTTTCTGCAATCAATACGTAATCGCCATCAAGTACGATATACATATGTCAGCGTTTTTTTCCCACGGACGTTAAACCCCGTTAAGGAATCTGTCTGCTGTAGCGCTTGAAAAAATGGGCAGGGAGAGAAGACCCTATTGGGCTTGACTCTAATCTGGCAGTGTAAGGAGACGTAAGAGATGCAGAATAACTGGAAGATATTGTTTCTCGGTTTGATTATCGCCAATGAATACCACTACTCACTATACGGATATATTTATACAAATTTTGTTTATATAACCAATACTTCGAATTTGGTATAATTCTCAATACTCAAGTACGATCCAATTCAAGAACTTTGTCAGATAGAGATATTAACGGAGGTGTCCCAAGGCCACGTCACTGCGGACGGAAACCACACATAGAACAAAAGGACAAAAGCTGACTTGATCTGGTCAGTTTCCAGTACACATAGGGACAGCAAAAGCTCGGCCTGTCGATCCTTTTGTTTCAACGAGTTTGCAACGAGAGATATTAGAGAAGTTAACACTGGGTTACCTGGCTTGTTGCGGCCAAGCGTTCATTGCGGCGTAGCTTTTTGATCCTTTGATATAGGCTCTTGCTATCATTGTGAAGCAAAATACACCAAGCATTGGATTTTTCACCTATGCAAGCGAACGTGGGCTGGGTTTAGACCATCATGCGGCAGATTAGTTTTACGCTACTAATGGCAAAGTGTTGTTGCGACAGCATTCCTCCGTAGTAAGAACCAATGGCATACTACTTGTTCGGCCGTATAGTGATACGAGGCTACATCCGTTTGATTATACCCGAACGCCTATAAAGTCGTATCCGAGTTGGACTGCAATGATGGGACATTTGCATTATGCGTAGCTTTTAAATTACACGATCAACGACTATGGGATGTGACGTCTATGTTTTATTGTAATATAACAAATGCACGGCAATGTAAACACTATTTGATACAATGGCAATGCCTAAACTCAATTGCAATCGAATCGTCAAACTAAGGGATCGCAGAGATGAAACGAAATTCTAAACTGGAGGCAAAATGTATTTATATAAAATAATCTAAATAAAATTGAAATCAGTGTACAGTTTTAAATATGTATAAAAAAAAAAAAAAGAAAAAACACTTTTATTGCAATTGAAGTATATTTATTATTATTATTTGTAAGTGGTTTTTCTTTTCGGTAATCTTTGTATGATATTATGTTATATGGTTTTTTAAAATAGCACTAACGCTTACAAAACAGAACATTTATTTATTTGTTTATTTAATTACATATTTTTATGAAGATTAAAACATCTACTTGCTATATGAAAGTTAAAAAAAAAAAAACAAAAAATAAAGATGGGAATAATTTCTTTATCAAAGATTTTTCTGTTTTCATTTTTTTTTTTTTTCTTTTTTGTTAAACGGAGTTTAAAAATGTTTCTTGAAATTTTCGCTGACGGTATGTTTTCGTTTCAAATCTGGCATAAATACTGTTTAATGTTTATCATTAATTTTCGTTGTAATTAGATTTTTGAAATATTTCATATATCTATTGGTTACACATAATTTAGTTATTTTTATTTAGTTAATTTTTTTTTTTTGTTTTTATTTAATATAAATAATTTGCAAAATTGTTGAACGAAAAAAAAAAAAATATATATATATATCAAATAATTAAATTGAAGTATCGTTTAAGTCAATTTGACAATAAAAATAGCAAAAATATTTTATACAGGGCACTTAAGAGTCGTTTGTTTTTTAAATTAAAAAAACAAAATAATAAATTTTTTTATCATTATTATTATTATTATTAATTTTTTTAAATTTAACTACATTTTATTAAGAGCCTTTATTTCTCTTTATCGAACAATTTGTGCGTTTAATTTTCCAGATTTATTCGTAATAATTTCACCGATTTTCTATCCTTATTTATTTATTTTGTATTTTTTTAAATCGGAATTAAATAAAAATCATCATGTCATTTTTAATTCCCTAAATGTGGATTCAAAAGATGAGAAATTTCATATACATATGCAATACCTAAGGATTCAAGCCGATTTAGTCGGCTGTCGGGAAAACTGAGAGCGAGTTAACTAAAAGTGATGATTATTAACATCAATTACTTTTTACCTTTGTTTGGCCTACAGTCGCGACTTTCACTTCTACGAACGATTCGTACGCAAGCGTCCACCGGTTATTGTCGCGTGCGTCGATTGTCAAGCATGGTTTCGATGCAACGCGATTTTAAAAAATCGAGTAGAGGCGTCCCCCGCTTAGCACGGCATTTGTCACGAATTGTTTCAATGCAACCTTTGGTATAAATTATGCGAATATTGGAATAACGTGTCATTGTATCGTATGTGTGTTGTGCTTTTACTTTTACTTTCTCATTCAGAAGAGGAGGAAAAAATAAATAAATAAATAGATTCGCTTTAATTTTTAATGAAAATGAATTTTTTGATCTTGTCATCTTCATCATTTTTTGAATACATTTATGTTGATGTACCCGTCACACAAAAAAGCTTCATAAATCCCATAAAGTATTTGTCCTATGCTTGATAAACATCAAATTCTGGATGAATGCAAGCATGCTTCAAAAACTCGCGTAAGTATCACATTCTGTCCATCTGTGCAACTGTTCCTCCGTTCGCAAAAATGAAAATATCGGCTAAAAATTTGCAAAAGTATTTGACAATGATCTAAATCGGTCAAAGGACACGCCTACAAGGTTAACAATAGCCTATACAATAAAACTGAGAACACCTTCACTTTCCATGTTCTTTTTTTTTGCTCGTTACTCATAAACTACAACGAAATACACGATAAAACTTTCCACTTTTACTCTTCGCTAGGAATGACATTGAGATTTGACAATTGTCATCGGCTGTTGCTCGATCCTTGCTTCTCCTGTTTCATAGCTTTCGATTTTCGTAAAAAAAAGTTACATATTGCCTTCATTTACACCACTTCAAGCTGTCTTATGACACTGTCTCTGAAAACACAGATAAGATTTCGATATAACACGGTACACTTTTTTTTTGATTTATATTCATCTTCCCTACGATATTTTAATTTAAATAAAAACTCAAAAAAAAGAAATAAGAAAGTTATATTCGGAGGGGGCCGAATCTCGCATACCCAACACTATGTCTTTTGCATTTTGCTCTCCAAGTTCTTTTATTTGGTACCCACATTCCTGGAATTATTAAGAAAAAATTAATCGCAGTGTCTGCCAGAGTCATTCTAAAATTAATCCATTTTTAGGCATATAGTATATCTTCATTTTATGTAGGGAACGAGAAGGTAACATCAAGGAATATCTTTAATTTTGATGTTTATTTCTAATTTCCTTAACATATTAACAGATCTCTTCAAAATGTACTTAGATGAATTGAAAAATGTCATTGGGATGGAAGCAAAGCCGAGAGCGATTTTAGAACTTTCAAGGGCCAAGACATTAAAAGTTTTTGATATTAAATTGTACATTTTCTTGCCGTCTTCTCCATTAGTCCGACACACGTGTGGTATAAAATCCGCAATTTGCTCATTGCTTTGTATCGGCCACTTTTGAAGAAGAAAAATGAGGGTATTTTTATGGTCCTAGAATTTGAGACTTTAAAAAAAAAATAACAAGAAGTTTATTGTAATAAGAAAGCATATTCTGAATTTTGAAACGCGTTGTCTCGAAGCACGATTTTTCGAAGGGGCATGCAGCTTAATTCAAGCAATTTGCCGAGAATGGTTATGGTGTTGCCATTTTTTAATATATTTTTCAATAGAATTTTTTTGTTTCAATACTTCAAGGTATGCTTATTTCCTTTAGGATTTTTACGCAATAAATTTAATTTCGTGAAGAAAATTTAATGCTTTTTCTTTGCTCAATAACCGAAAAAAGTGTTTTTTGTGTCTTTCGCAGTGTTACCAATTTGGAAAAAAAAAAGAAAACATTTCTGATATTTGCGCAATTTAACGTGAATATTGGTCTTAATTTTTGATCACAACATTATGTAGAAAAGCTTGCAACAGTCTAACGTTCCGATTGGTTCATGAATTATAATAACAACTAATTGCCTAACTAATAAAATATTTGTAAATCTTCGATAAGAGTTTAATAAACTTATCTTTGGGGTTTGGATTGTCTAGAGAGCTCTTAATAGATTGAATCAGTTTTCCCCAAATAAAAATTTTTTCTTCACCGACCACAAACAGACCTGAAAAATGAACTTTCAATAACAATAGAAGCACCATAGCATCACTACAAAAAAAAAAAAGAAAAAGTCAATATGAAAATGCCCATCATACAATTAACACACCCACTATAGTAATAATTGAATACTTTATAATTTTCATATATTAATTTAATGAGATATATATGATGGATATAATATATATACATACATATATATTTTTATTAACAAAGCAAATAAAATTTTATTCCTTCATTCAATTGATTTGCTCGAAAATTTGGCTAACGTTAATTGAATGTGATTTCAATGGTCGGGTATCCAAGATTGGTTCGGTTAAAAACGTTTTATTTGCTAAGAAGAAATTTTTATTATCCAGCATTAATGCACACATCCCTGTTTTATAAGAGTTTTTTCTTTTTGTTATCCTTCACTTTCTCTCTCTCTCTCCCTCTCTCTCTCTCTGTCTCGCTCTGTCAACTTTATTTTATAATGTTTTAAAACTAATTTTAACCACAGGTTAGAAGAAATTAATGCAAACTGTTGCTCTAAGTTTCAAAATTTTTTAATTTGTTTTTTTTTAAACACCTAATGGCACTTTAGCTTTATTTTTGGATAAATTATTTCTAAAGAAAAAAAAAAAAAAACGAAAAAACATTAAAAGCAGAAATTTATGATCAATGTTTAGACGATGATAACATTAAAATACAATTGTGAAGAACTTGGTTTAAAATCGCGCGTAAATCACATACGTGTATATATATATATATATATATATATATAGTTTTTTTTTTTAAACCTTATTTTATTAATGTATATCAAGTTTTTTTAATTCAATATTATATACTAGTTGAAAACTACGATTGTAAATCTATATATAAATCATATACTTTTTAATATACATTTTCATTAGTTAAATAGATATATACTTTTTAATTACTTTGTAGTATTTCTGTTCAATATTGAAAATTTTGGCAAATTTTTATATTTATTTTTCATTAATTTCTATTTAATAAAAATTTTCAATACTTTATGCTAATTTTGAGCAAATAGCTCTTCGGTAATTGTGCGTATAAAATTTGTACGCATATACATATACATATATGTATATATATATATATATATATTTTTTTTTTCCATTGGTTTTTTATAATTTCTTTAGTTAAAAAAAAAAAAATAATAAAAACACTTTTAATATTGTTATGTGTATTATATATATATAAACACATATAGACATGTATATATATATATATACATATAAAATTTCTATCTAAATCGTATAGATCGTAGGCATATTTTAAAACAAATGTTTTAACTTTGATCCATATTGATATCGATAACGATATTAAAGATTGTGAGGATGAACTCGAATAACTAGCAAAGGCATCTACCATCTGTCTGAACAGAGCTCTGTAAACGTCCTAAATGAACTCTGTTAAGCGGTTAGAATTAAGATATAATTGGATTTGAAAGCCTACTCAGTCAAAATTAGAAAACTTAATATATTCTTTTTTGGATACCTCGTGAGACCGTATGAAAATATATTTTAAATAACCTAAACACCCTGCTGACGGGAAAATTTTTGGAAATTTAAAAAAAACTGGTACGGAAAACAACTAAATTTGTGTTTTTAATCGGGAAAGTGTCCCCGGCTAACCCGTCACACTTTTACTGCAGGTAATATGTAAGGACGCGTTTCGATTGTATTGCCCTTGTAAGAGGAAACTGTTTTTCCGAAATATGCGGCATTTCGCATTACCGTAAAACACAACAACAAACGCACAAAGCCTAGAAAATTTCTCTTTTGCTGGGCGTGTAACCATCGGATACCGTGAGAATTTGTACAAATGTGTAGCCGCCCTTGTCCGACCCTATAATCTCTGCAAAAAGCTTCGGATGGATCGACGTGAATTTGGTATTACATTTCATTTCACTCTCACTCTAGATTTCCAGAGAACCATACTTGTATGCATTTTGTGGCTACATTAATGGAGGGGTGAAGGCGTCACGAACTACTTGGATTTTATTCCATGGACGCCGCCCTGGAGGGAGTGTTTTTATCGTAACGATGCTAAATGATGTTTGCTTCGCCAGTGCTTATTAATTATGTATCTTATTATGTAAAAAATTTGGTAAACCGAATGACGAAACTATTCTAGAGTGAAACTAAAAATCAAAAATTTTCAAAACTTAGTGCATCTTGTTTGTTATGTTCTAAGGCGAAATGCATGGACTACCCACATATATGGGGAATATAACTGTTTCCTCTCAGGCATTACGTGGATAATGCAATTAAAACACATCCAGACATACTGCCTGTAGTTATGTGTGTTAGGTTCCTGCGCCTAGAAACTGCAGATTAAGAACTCAAGTTTGGACTGTTTTTTGGGTCACATACCAAATTTCAAGAAATTGTTAGAAGTACTTCCTACAAATACGATTTGTATTCGTTAAGCTCGTTTGAAAGGTGCTTTCATATAAATTCACGAAGCGGCCAAGAAAATCAATGTCTACACGATTTCTAATTTAGACGGAGCAGGCTTTCAAATCTGTCTGCCTTCTAATTATAACTACTTAATAGAGTTTTTAATCTTAGGACGTTTACACAGCTATGCTAAGAGAGATGGTAGATGCCTTTGCTAATTGAATTTGAATTTATCTTCACATCCTTACGATATTATTAATGCTAATGATAATGCTTATGATAAAGATCATGATGATGATGATGATGAACTTAATTGAGTTTAATTGCATTTTTTACGTTTGCATGTGTGTTTTAAAAGTTATTATATATATATTATGATGACGCTTTACTAAATATAAACTTGAAGGACATATTAACGTACAATGGTCAGCCATTATTTCGCAGGAGTCAAAACAATCTGAAAATAAAAAATATATAAAAAATAAATAAATATTATTGTTATTGTTATGATTATTGATTTAACCAGAGAAATAAAATCCAAATCTAAAATTTAACAGCGCTGGCTTTGTTGTTGAAAAACTCTATCGCACTTGAGACTTGCAGCCATGACTATTGGCTTGTTAGCCGAGATCTTTTGCCTGCTTGGCGAACAAAAATAAATAAATATCAAAACAAATAAAGACATTATAGCCGGGCAAGACAGACCATTTGACACCCTACACTACAATCGCCTAGTATACTTAACTCTATCCGGATACGGATTAAACCTTCACGGTAGCGTACCCAAGTTGAACCCCCAGAGACACAAATGTCCCTGTCTACCTAACTCACTCTTTCCGGTAATAATAAACCAATAAACTAAAGCTTATTGCCATATAATGGCATACTTTTCATCAAACCTAAACCCATTTGAGGAGGCTGCCCAAACATCATCTGATGCGATCCAAAATTCAGTAAATTTAATTTTCAGTTTTCGAACTAGACCTTGATTTTCCATAAATATTTCTGGGGTCTAACAAATATATCTACGTAATCCAAGTTATCTGGTATCAAGGTTTTTTCCTAAACTGAGGTACACTTGATTTTTATTTTTCAAATCACTGTTTACATATCCTGAGAATCCTTATGTGCGTTGATCGCGCCGATTGAAACTATTCTCAGCACCGCTTGTTGTTGTTGGGTACAAGCGCGTGAGTGTACCAATTGCGATCTGTTGGTTGAATAGCTCAGATCAATTCAGAAATTGATGATGGTGCGTTTAGCTTAAGCCCTTCCAGATGTCACACATGCGTTCGCACAAATTTACTGCACGCTGCACGACAGTAGGTAGTGTAGGGTATAATAAACTGTTATTTTAATTTGCTTGTAGAAGCAAATATTGTTCTTCCTACGTATACATATGTACATCAAAATTAAAAGAAATTAAACTAAAGCAATTAAGGCATGCACAAGCGTGCCCTGCTCAGAGGTCACTACTCTTACATTGTCAGTTAGCGATCTGAGACGGCAGTAAAATCATGAAAAACAAATATTCAATTTGTGATGGCACAAACAACAAAAAGCAGCAACAAATGAAAAGAGGAAAAATCAAAAACAATTATGAGACTTGAGAACGAATTTTTTATACACTCTTCCTCACTTCGCAAATGCAATTTTCTTTTTTTTTTCTTTTTTTTTTTTTGACGTATAACCTATAGTAGACACTGTACATATTGTGTTGACAAGACGACATTGTATGCAATTGAAAGCTTGCTGTTATATAATAATAATAATTAGGCACGGCAGACATACCCACAGTTTATCAACCTGACAATCTTAATATAATAAATGCAGGGAAAAAATAATGAACAGTGTGAAGATAACTTTGAATTTAATTAGCAAAGACACTTATCTAATAGCTTAACATAGCTCGGTGAAGGCCCTTACAATCTGTCAACTGTTTAGCATTAAGCTAAGGTTACAGTTAGAAATATAATTAATCGAAATTGGAAAATGTAAACGCCAGACCCTCTTAATGTTTTGCAAAGTCATCAATTGCGCACTTCAATCCAACGGTTGTCGATAGTAGAGAACGATCGATGCACTTCACGCTTCCTATCATACAAAAAAAAAAAGAAAAAAAAAGCAAAGCATTAACTTAATATTTGTCGCATATAATTATCCCATGCGATCAACTTTTTATTTCGCATATCGTTAAAAATTTCTTTTCTGTATTAGCAGGCGCTTCACTGGACACATGCTCTATCCAGCAGCACTCGCATTGATTTGAACTATGCCTCCGCCTTCATTTCATCGACTTTAAGAACGGATCGATTCAGCCGATCAGAATGCCTTGATCGAAATGCTTACAGAAAACATTGCATAGACGGACAGACATGACTCAATCAACTCAGAATTTCACGCTGATCACGAATATATATACTTAAGTCGTAGCGTTTCTCTTTTGGTCGATAGCTTCACTTTTGCGGCCAAGAGACTGTTTACAACACACGGACAGACGGATATGCTTAAATCGATTTCGAATTGGGTGCTTATTAAGAATGTATATACTTTGTGGGATCTCTGTTTTTTCTCTCTGGGCGTTGCAAACGCTTTGACAACATGAATATACCTCCCCCCATCCTTCGGTGATGGGTATAAAAAATAAAATAAAAAGATAGAAGAAAAATGTGCAGTGTCATCACACATATGGGTAAAACATGAATATTACTGTAAATGCATTATATAAGTGTATACCAAGAAAATAGATACGCAGCGATACATAAAGATAAGAAGTAAACGAAGTTTGCCTACCAACCACCACCACCACCACACGCCGCATACTTCCGAATATCAAAATGTTACAACAGACATGTGTACATATGTGTACTTAAGTTTTACTGTCAACTCTTACGACTAAAAATAGATTTCAGTAAATAAAAAATAAATACGAAAGTTATTTAAAAAAAAAGTTCGATCCGAATCTCTTATGCCGATCAGTTAAGCTGAACACGTACATATTTGGGAAATGTTTCGATATTTTATTCCAACAGTAGGTTAGCTAAAGATTTGATAGTCATTTCTTTTTGAAACTAACATTTTAGGGAAGGCAAGGCGAGAGTTCAATTTATAGGCAAGAATAGCAAGAAATGCTCCAAAGCTCTCTGTAGATAGATTGTTACAAAGGCGAGTAACGCGATTGAAAAACAAACAACTCGAGGACATATGGACGAGAGAGCACGTCTAGTCAAACGGTCCTATTTATTTATAAATATTAGACATGATTGAGTTATAGGCATTTTTTATTACTGCAGATCACATGCCCTACACAACTATTATACACATATCATAAGCTTAAGACAGCGCCCATTATACCAACGCTTAAGAATTTATTGGAATCACTGGAATTTACTTACAACATTTTGGAATAATTGACGTCTTTTTCTTTAAAGTTGTGCGAGTGCATTTATTTATTAATTTTTCTTTTTTTTTTTTGTTGACAACAGGAAGACATCTTACCTTATTTCCTTTATATGACATACATGATTAGTTTCAATGTTCATTCATATTCATCCTTAATAAAAAGTTTTAAGTATACTGGGTTTGTCTTTTTGTTTAAAACATTCCGAAATACTCATCCGGAACCTTATAAAATATATGCACTTGTTATCTCGATCAATGGAAGATTAATCACGTTTGTCGGTTCAAAACCTTTTTGTCTTTTGAGAGAAAAAGTAGCGGCCTAGCCTAAGTACTCTTGGTTGAACAATCGAAAAGCTCAGTGCAAGAGGTGTTCTAATCGAAACTTATCGATGAGTTTGTCCGAAAATGAACGTTTACTGCACAATGAGCAAAAAACCATAATACGTAACAAAGGTTAAGCCAGTACAAATTTAAATTACGATCGGCGGCAGGTTACAGGAAAGAACAACCGCCGTCCAAGCACTTTTCATTCTTAACAAACGACAATCGATCAACCTTGATAATGGGAGTTATCTGTCCACTACAATTTCCATGTTTTGTGAAAAACTCGAATCTGTAATATATATATATATTACCTTGCTTCACATATTTGTCAACGGTGTCAAAATGTTCAATGGAAAATCCCTAGTCATAGATAGAGCTTCGTATTTGCTTGCACGGAAACTGTGAGCGTTCTTAATAAATATTTCTAATAAGGTTTCAATCAACTTTCTCTATCTGGATTCTAGAATACATGACGTCGCCAAAGCTTACAATATAATGTCTTGTTGTTAGCTTATTCGCGAGAAGTCACTTAATCTTTTTTCAGAAATTCCTCTTAATTACTACGTAAATTGATTTCGATGATGATAAAAAAAAGTGGGCTATATTGGCGTTTTCGTTAAAAACGCAATGTAGCTCTGCAACACTCAATGTAATGGGCGAAAAGTTACAATATGCAAAGTGTGTAATGGAAAAAAAGACATTAAAACTTTTGAGAAAGATCTAATTTCATTACTATATCCAGGGTTTATGATCCAGAGAAGCAAAGTTTGAATAACGAGATAATAACATACACTTTAAATTACCTTTTGGCAAAAAATGAAAATTCGGGTAACTACTGACACGATAGTTTTCGGATAACATTTTTAGAGATATACAGCAAAGGAGGGAGACTTTGACTAACATGCTGGTTTTTGAACAAACATTTTTCCATGATATAAAGCAAAGGAAGGAGTATTTAAGTAACATGCTAGTTTTTGAACAAAAATTTTTCTATGATATAAAGCAAAGTCAAGAGTATTTTACTAACATGCTAGTTTTTGAACAAA